TTGTCTTCTTAAATTTCCTGGAGTGTTGGAAAGCGGGGAACCCGTCAATTTGGTGCCCGCCCATGATGCGAACGTGCTCAGTGCATAAGCCCAAGGAAGCTCTATATATAACCGGCTGCATGTCGACTGTGCGGCGTTGGTCCGCATTCATACAAATGCCACGATGAATTATAAGTCTTGTTACCGACAGAGTGGGTTATCTTCAAAACATCTTAATAGGGGGCTGCATAACAGGAACGTAACATCTCTTCCCAAATTGATCCAGTCATTTTGCAATCAGTTGAGGCTGTCGCTAGACACGTTGACACTGAACAGGTCGAGGCCTTGCCTGGTTTATTCAAACAGGAAAATAGGGTTTCTATATGTAACGGTTCCTTCTCCGAATCAAGTACAACGCTCAGTACTGAATCGCAGGTTCCAAGCAGGGGGAAAAGTCTGGGTGAAGAGTTTCTGCATGAAGACTGAGACTCGGTCTACTCTCAAAGGGAGACTTGACTTAGTTAACATGGGATATCATTCACTCTGAAAACAGACTTCACAATATCATTTATATCATGCAGCGCTTTCAAACATCTTGTGTGGATGAGCGTTGGTCAAAAATTACACACATTAATTAATTTTCCTGTTAAATAACCATGCCCATAACATTAGATTACAGCATAGCATCTTCATAGATTGGGACCCCCACACACACACACGCGGTCATCCACCCTAACTGTGCCACGAGTCCAAATTTGACCTAATTGACCCTAAGTTGAGACGGTTGGACTTCAAGTCCAGTGCTGATCAAATTTTAATTCTTTCCGCAAATTGGTATTTGACTTCCGAAAACCCTCTTTCTTCTGATGGACCAAGGGATGATTTTGTCTCCCCCTTCCATACGAACCTCGGCTGTGGAATAAAAGTTTTTTATAGGAAAAAGTTAATGATCCAAAAACCTGCCATCAGTAGCGTCTCCAGCTTTTGGTGTCGGGGGGGGGAACTTCAAAAGCGAATACGGCTTTTGGCTCATTCAACATGTTGTTGGGGAGATTAAATGGAGTTGGTTTGTTAGGGTTTTTATGCTACTATACTATAAATCATTATACCAATCACTTTTTTTTTCTTACTAGGAAGCATTTTTTTTAAAAGTTCCCCTCCCTGCAGGATGAGCCACTAACCGCCATACATTCTTTAGTGTTCTACTCTTAACGAACAAACTGTTCAGTAAGACCTCATTCGCATGAAAGTCATTTTTATCTTGTTCCCTGAATCTATCATATTTATTGTAATCTTTTAAATGGGATGGTGCCAGACTATTTGGGATTCCAGATTTCACTTTCATTTTTTTTAATATGGCTTAAAACTTTTAGGTATACTTAATCAGAAATATTACTATTTTATTTTATCTTATTATCCCAAACAATAACTGGCTTTCATATTACTGAACTGTTATTTCGTCGCTCTTATGATTACTCCCATGTTCCTAAAATGGACAGTTTTACCTCACTTCAAGTCAAGATGGCCGACACATGGATAAAGTTAATTTGTTATAAACATTTCGAGTCTCTGTCCACGAGTGAGTGCTGCTACGGTATTAAAACGTCTGCAAAAAAAAAAAATTCCATAAAGCCCATAAAGGCTCAGCACGGATTCCACAGGGGCCTTTTTAGGGCATGAACTTATTATTGTGTAGTATTTCCTTCAGAAAGCAGAAAAATAGGATAGGAAAAATTGGATGACAGAATGTGTCTAGTTAAGTGTCTCTAAGTGACGTAACTCTCTATCAAAATATCAAATTTTGGTGTAGATGGGGGATTAGTGTTAAAAACAATATTTTAAATTACAACTTTTGCTTTGAAATATTCTTGTCAGAATTATTCTGTTTGCTTGCGAGAATGAAACAACACTGTATTCTAATGAGTGCCTTTTTACATGAATTTAGTTTGGCTATCCCGACTACCATATGCAGGACTAATTTGTTTTCTTTGTCAGAACTGTGCCACTTTTTTACCTCTTGTTTTCTAAGTTATTCCATGCATTATGTTTCTGTGCGTGAAGTTTGGCTTTTTTAAAGAAATTATTTTGGGAATTGTGGCAAGCGGATTTCAAGTGTTTCCTCACAGTGTGGGTCTACTAGACCGCATTGATTGATCAGTGGTTCTCTAATTGATCGATAGGCATGCAAAATGTGAAATTAATTTTCCTTAGGGATTAGTGCCAATTTTACACATTTTGGCCAGAGGGGGATATGCCTCGCTGTTTTCTGTTATGTTGCCATGACAATTTGTTGGACCTAAAAAAGGTTAATGTCTTTCTTGAGCCATAATTATTTTTTTTTAAATGTTGAGAAAAATAAGTTAAGCACGAGTGTCTAGCGACGTATCCAGCTTTCGGTGTGTAGGGGCAAATTCACAAGTGAATTAATGCGACTTCAGGCTCATTCAACTTGATGTTGGGGAGAAGAAATCAAAACCCTTACTCACAGTCCCGACATCCTTGCTTTTATTTGCTTGTTTTTTTCTGAATACCTTAATAACTGTTTTCCTACTCACCTGTAAAGTAGTGTTATAAAACAAAAATAGATAAATAAATAAAAATTCCGTCTGGGGGAAGTCAGGGGGAAACTTCCCCTCCCCCATTGGATACGTCACTGCGAGTATCTCAAATTGTACCTATGTCAAGTTCAAGACACACTGGTCAAGTTTTAATGCATTTTTGGCCATTCATTACAGTCAAACTGGTGACAGTCTTTCGACAATTGCCTATTACAGAGTATAAAATCGCACGATAAACGTGGAAGCTTTATCAAAACCCTTATTTTAATTTTTAACATCGCCAGCCAAGGGTGGCTCAATAGAGGGGGTAATGATATGATAAATATCCCGGCCCAGCATCATCAACATTGATAACTGCCCTGGCAGCAAATGGTTAAACAGTACGCCAATCTTCTATGAATAAAATAAAAAACAAATGAAACACAAAACAGTAAATTTTAAAACCCTTTGGCATATCATCAGCTTTACTTAATTTTTTTTTTCAAAATGTCATATATCTTTTCTTTTTTAATACCATAACGTTCTCGTCCCAAGCCGTTCAATTTCTGACAGAATCCCGACATTTGTACACGCACATTAATACGACGCGACCCGAAGCCAGGGGAAAAAACGCAGCCGAAATTCTTGCCGAGGTTAGACGCGAGCCGCCGACGATGGATGCCAGACCCAGGCTGGCACTGACGGATGTGGCCGGCGCAGCCTGCTGACAAACCCGTCTCGCCTGGGACTCCGGAGGAGAATGTATCTATTCTCGAAAGGGTTCCGACGGGGTTTTTGAAGTTCCGAACGAGTGGATTATCGGAGATGGAAACGGCCCAGCCTGTCGGCCGGTTGTCAAACGGCCCGCCAGCGATTGGAACTGAGACGTAACTAGACATGGCGGCCAGTCCATTTGGATTGTGGGCCAAAAAAAAATCGAAACAATGTTGATTAACATCCTACGATATTATGACCACGCTCAATAAATTACCAATTTAGGAGTTTATCCGCCAGCTTTGTGTATCTGCATCGAGGGACCAAATCAGTCATATTATTTGAACAGCACTGAGAGAAAAAACGCTTAACAGCCAACCTAGGAAAAACTAGTAATGACTTCAACTTGTGTAGTTCAGTCGAATACAGCAGAACACGCATATATATCAGACAACAGGATTCTACAAAGGGAGTTTAGTTGAGTGGCACACGCTGAGTTGAAAGAAATGCTTGTTGCTGTCACAGGACCCATTTTTAAAGATACTGATCGGAGCGTCACACGCAGCTTCACTATTATTCAACAAAACATGCTTCATTAAAATCTGTGAAATTTCTGACAGACGAAAAGGTGGATATTTTTTACCATGTGTAAAAACTCAAGAGGGAAAGATGACTCTTTCTGTATCTCCCCGTGACTTGTGCTATTGAATAATATTTAACTTCCAGTGTCCGTAAAACGCGCAACACGATTTCCCAATATGCAAAAGATAACATCTCTCACCTGAAAAGGCTACCCATAGCGATCATCAATTTTGTTCTGAGTTTATTTTACTTCAGTTGAAGTGCATTTGCCATGGTAACCCTGTGTTTTGATATGACGTAGTTGAAAAAAATTGATGGCTACCTGTTTCTTCTTTTACACTACGCCGAACAGAAAAGGTCACGCATGGGGGCCCACGATTTTAACTTGCCCGGTGGTGATTCTTGCCGCAATCATTGTTGATACACACCAAAGTCCAGCCGGCTTCTTCAAGTTATTTTCAGGCGCATGTTCCGTTAATATGCTCGCCCTATCGAAACGGTGGCGTTTTACGAAATGCAACTTGACGTGAATGTCATACGTGATTAGCCGAACCCCACCGGCTCCGTGTGGCCAAAATGAAAGGGACAACCTTACCTGTGGGCGGACTCCCATTTTTTTTGGTGGGGGGTTCCCCCTCGATTCTGAAACGGGAGAGGGTGAGGCCTCTTCTTTTGTTGTGTCGGCGCGAGAGGGTGTACGAGGGACAACCCCAGAAATGTTCGTGGCCTGTGCCCCCCCCAACACACACACCTAACCCAACCATCACCACCCCATCTCCCCCAGAGTCAACGATGACAGAAGTGAAGTTTGTCGTGTTTGAAAACTGTGATCAAGCCCATGCACTGAATCCCCTTAGGAAAAACGACCCGACTCAGTCGACAACCTGCCTTACGCGACGGTAACTGTTGCACCCTTCTCATTCACACAACCCCGTCCCATTTCCTACCATCTTAAAACCTAGGAACTCATGAGGCATACCAATTCAGTTTTATTTATTGAAATTTTTTATTTTACAAAATGTTAACATTGCCGAATGGGAAAAAAATGAAATGAATTTCATTTTTAAGATGTGTACATGTTTGTTTCGGATTGCCGCTTCTGTTATCTCCCAGGGGTTTAAAAATGAACAAAATAATAATCATTATTTTTAAAAGTTGGTCACACTACACGGGATCTGGGTGTGGACATTGTGCACGTTATTAAGGACTATTTGCGCCCTTGCTTCACGGCCGTCTACTTTGTCCTACCCCGTTAGGCGGGGTGTGATGAGAACAATTGGTAAAATAATAAACATGATAATTAAGAGAGAGGGACAGCCACTATGTAGGCACAAGGGAATCTTATCCACTGTCTTGTAACAACTTTCAGTGAAAGGGGAGTTCCTACTCTGGATAAACAAAAAAGAAAGAGGAAAATATCAATTTCAATTAATTTAAAATATGTAATGGTGAATCAACATTGTTCCAATGCTCAGTATTTGCTGCGTTTTACGTATAGATTTTGCCAAACAGTTTGTGTGAGTTCCCTCCCCAAGTCAGTTCAATTACTCCAGGATCGTAATTACAATCTCTGTTTTGTGATGCAGAATGTTAATCTCCTTTCGGGTTTCGCGATAGCTTCATGTCTGTCAGTCTGCGTTAAGACAAGAGGGAGATCTTGGAATAACCACAGAGCTGAATAAATCTCCTTTGAGTCAGAACCTACAGTTTTCCCGTGCTCATTAGCGAGCACACTGGCACTCGCAAGGGTATCAATCATCAGCTTCAATTCTCCGTTCAACCCTCCAGGGTGAAATGAGTTCGAACTCTCGGGCCAGCTTCCCGAGCGCGGCCAGCCCAGGTACGAGCCGACTAATGTTTGTCGACAACCGTCATTTCCTCACAATTTGTCCGAGTAGAGCCGTACGTTGCCCACCGCAGCAATATACATGTATCTTGCGTGCCTAGTGCCTTTTCTTTGTACATGTATTACAGGGTTTGGTCGGCATTGATGTCCACAAGTGCCAATGCGGGTTACTCCGTTTACAACTTTTGGCGTTCCTAGCTCCCCGGGGCAAGGGAACGATTACTTGTGTCCTGCAGCGTTACGGGAACAAAGGGATTGTTATATTGTTGATGTCTGGAATAAAAGTGTTTTGGGCCGATATTTTGAGAGCCTTAATGCCTTCATGTCCATCGTCTGCTGTCAAAGCCAGCCATCGCTCCATTGGTGGCAGGCTTGGTACCACGTGATCCCTACCGGTGAGGACAGTCGGCTTGATAATTATGTCAGAACTCTGTCAGATAGACATAAATTTCCACAGAGGCGATGAACAGCATGCACAGCTCGTTCTACGACACGGCGCAGATTGCCGGGGAGTTTTACCATGGTGCCACCGCTACGGAGTCAGCCCCGGCGGCCTGTCGGAGCACCTCCACCAGTGATGGGTTCGGTTACGCCCAGAACCCGCGGTTTTACAACATGTATTACAACAGCAGCGCCGGGACGGGTGAGGGTTATCCCCACCACCAGGCCACCGAACCGGTGTCCATCCCGGGGCTCTCGGTACCCCCTCCCCCGTCCGCCGAGCAGGGATGCTACGGTAACCTCCTGTCCGAGGCGGCGGCGGCGTCGGCCACAAGGAACCACCGACCCCCGTCCAACGGCAGCTCGGACTCGGTGGACGACAACGAAGGGGGCGAAGGGCTGCGAAAAGAGAACAGCTCACGGGGAGCAGGAGCCGGACTCTCCAAGAAGATCTACCCCTGGATGACGGAGTCAAGACAGAACGTCAAACAGAAAGTCACTTCTGCGAGTGGTAAGTTCATTTAGCAGTGAACATTTTGATTCCATCGAGACTGAACCCTAGATCTACTTGTTTAACATTCTCCGCGACAATCCTTACTATATTGCTAAAACTACAGTGGTCTTAGGGGTTTGATTGAAAGTGTTTCATCCGAATGCAATATTGAATATTTCTATTGCGTGTGAAATAAAGGCATCATTTCCAAACACAAGCCCTGGATTACAAGCCCCTGACATTCCAAATATAAGGTAATATTGCAGCTGTATTATCAAATGTTCAGTTACTACAAAACTCGAAATTCCGTATTTAATATTAAATCACTGTTTCTTGTATTCTCATCCGTGTTGTACTTTTTATGAAAAGATCAAGCGGATTCAATCCGATTAAATACTCAATATTCATTTTATGTTCTTTGTAGATGAACTCAGAACGCATACAAATCAAGTCATTTCAAAAAGTAATTGGCAGACATGCACCCAAAAAAACAACCATTACAAAACTCCTTTTAAACTCAACGTTACCTCGAAGGCTTGAGAACAACACGGGTTAAAACGAATGTACATGTATGCCACTTCACAGTGTCACACGCAACTCTTGACTGAATACCCAACCACCACTCTAGAGAACATTAGATTAAATGAAATGACAAAAAGATAAAAAGGCAAGACAACCCGTGAATCCACTGCTGTTGTAAACTCTTCATATACTGAAATGTGGTGTCGTGGGAGAACGAAAACATATCCTAACTAGTAAGTAGTAACTAACCGAAAGAAAATAGCCGGTTTCGCTTGTTGCAAATCATTGTTCATTTGGGAAACAACGGTGAATGAAAAAAAAATAGAACAAAGCAGGCAGTCCTGTTAAAAGAGAAAGATAGAAACTATAACACAGATTTCCACAATGAACAACTTTTCATCAACTTCTGTAATTATATGCACCGCAGAGGCGGATCCAGGGGGCGTGGGGGCGCACGTTCCCTTTTTGTTTCACCATAGGCCTAAATAAATTAAAACAAGACAATAAGAGGAAGAGGCAACAATAAAGAGGGGTCGTACTGCCTGAATCTCCACCAAAGAGTGCCTAGAATCCGGACCATACACCGCAAAGGCTTCGCGCTACGCGCTGGCGGGCATTTACTATTGCTGGCCATTTACCAGTGCTGCTTTTGTTCACGTCCCCCCCCACCTTGGAAAATCTGGGATCACGCCCCCCTTCGGGAAAATCCTGGATCCACCCCTGGTACCCCGCCCTGGTGGTTGGTTTCTCATGGCCTTTTAGTTCTTTAGCACCGTTATTTATGTTAATTTTGGACCGGCTCCTAAGAAGTGGTTTTGTTTTTCAGAGTTCAAACCCGTAACTTGTCAAATTTGTTTAGGTTAAAATTTGTTTCTTAAATTTGTTGTATCCAAACATGTTTGTTTTATAATATTATGAGTGTGTAAGCCAAGTTGAAATTTACAGATGATAGTGAAGCACACGCTTCGTAATTAATAATGCATCCCTTGTTTCCAACAAAATAACAGGTCTCATACTGTTCTATACTTTTTTGGTTGGATACATCTATATAAATATATATACTGACCTTGATTGAAAGGACAAATACACTGTCCAGTCTAACTTTCATATTGTCAAAAAGATTTTTATAAAGGTTTTTAGGAATTGCAAGAACAATTTAGCTGCCTTCAAATGTATTGAATCATGACCTTTGTGTTAGACACATCATGCTTTCTTTCCAATATAAAAAAAGTACAAGAAACACAGATAATGGCTCAAAAAGAAAACGCACGCGATAAATTAAGTATCGAGTATCATAATAATAGGGGTATTCCAACATGGAGCGTTCGACATTTCCTATCATATAATTGTAAAACATGCCATCTGTGCTCTTTTTAGAACATGTTTGATGGTTAATCAGCCAATTCCAGGCCAATATTCAGACATTCAAGAAAATACTTAAAGCAGCTATAAATTGCTTTTTTTCATGATTATTTCAGGAAGCATTGTGAGCTTGGATCTTTGGTTAACCAACCGTTACTATAAATTGTCCCCGGGATTTTGTTGCAAGCTCAGTGACTCTGTTCTTTTATTATGTAAGTCAACGGTTTGGAGGCCCTGCAAACTGTTTTGTTGACAGTGATCTGCTTTAATATACCAATATGTACCAAAATGTTCTCATTATCATATACTAAAGATGATTGTTTGAATTGACTCACAATGTTCTCATATCTTTGCCTATTTTTAAAATGTTGACGTTTCCTTCTTAGCTTTGCGAAGAAAAAAAATTGCTCATAAAAAAATACCATAACATTTTTTTTGTGTTGGGGAAAAACATCCACCTATGCTTTGCATTTTCGTGGATACAAACAGAAGAGCGAGACTCTTAATACAATTCCAATATTCGAAACGAATGAAAAAAATGGGACGACAGCGTGGTGAGAAAAGACACTCACCCACCCAGCCAGCGATGTCGCAAATCGCAAATAAATCGCAAGAAACGTTCAACTGATATATTGTTATTGATGGCTGCTAAAGCTTTAAGTCAGTGAAACTGGAGCTTTGCACATTGAGGTCTGACAGGAATGGATAAATTTCACAAAATTCTTCCTCTGGGTCTTTGTTGTTAATTAAATCAATCTTGCTATGACTTTGCAAACATGATTAGAAGCCAAACGTTAAATGTTAAATCGCTAAACAACATCCATCTCTACCCTAAATATGTTTACCAACTGATAGCAAGTGAGTGTTTAGGTGTTTAATTACTAAAACAAAGTTTGCAGTGTCTTGTCTGTTGTCCAGGTCATGACTTTTACCCCAGCGTTATTTTGAACATCACTTCATGTCCATCTCTCCATGTTTTGCTTTTCTTTTCATTAGTCAGACAGCGTAATTTTTTGTGTCCAGAGTTTACATACACATGACTGAAAGACTTTGCCGATTCTTGGCAACATTTCTTTCTCTGTAGGGGATAACACCTCTTCATTAGCCTGTAAATAAAGCACTGAGTAAACTATATGTTTCGATTGATCACTTAAAGAAAAGGAATGGTTTAAGACCAACAGATAAAGTCCCAAAAACTTGTAATTTAACGCTTATATAATCCAAGTATATGTCTAAACTTTCAACCCGTACTGCGCATAGAGATCACATTTGTTTAGTTAAAACCAACAGCAACTTCAATAATCATGGATTATGGTTGGCGTTTTGACCGTGCAAGAATCGATATGCGATCGAGTCTTCGCTTTCATGTTTTATGTAAACATTTAGAGACCAATAAATTATTACTCGTCCAGCAAAAGCGTTCCTGCGTGCATGCTTAAGCTTAAGGATCGAGGGATCTGGGATTGGAGTCAATATTCGTATCGGCTATCTGAATTTATGAAATATTTTGAAAACAAAGTTAACCATAATATTGGTTTTGCTTATACGTCTTCTACGAGACCATGATTTCAACTCACACCAATAAGAAAGTAAACATGTCCGACGGGAGGCAAAACATATTATGGTAGCAAGTGTTGTTTTCATTAGGACAATTTGAAGTACATGTATATTGTAACACTGACGTTTCGAGAATCGAAGAATAGCGGGAATGCGATTGGGAAACCGTATGGGGATACTGCGGTTAAGTGAGAAGTGATCAGGCAGCTAACCAAAACGTAAAAGCAGATGTTGGATTGTTGTTACTATGTCCTCTCCCATTCTTACGCCACCTTTTTAGCAAATTAGATTGCTTACAAAATCGGGATAGTGCAATAATTTTCGAGTGGTGGAGGACGTGTTGTTGGTTTTTGTTTCAGATTGTGTTGTTGATCTCAAACCCAGCCATGCACTTTATCGCCAAGCAGGGTTTTTCCTCTTAAAACAAACCACAGGATATTGGGGAAAGCCAAACTTCCCCAATAACCTGAGGACATTTTCCTGGATGACAGAACTCGAATTATCAATATGAGTAACTAGTTTCTTAATAAATATATAAAGTGGTGTTTTATAGAGGAAGTGTTTGTAGCAGGGAGTATATTGGTAACTTTGGGACATAAAACAGGTGCTTCATGTGGTGTCAGTATAAATGAAGGACAGACATGAAATAAAAATTAAGATTATTGAAACTGAGTATTAATAACTACAGCACAAACACGTCGCCTCGAAGTTTAGTTTCAGAGTGTATGCCCGGCATCACTCAGTTGACATCATTGAGTAATGGATTATTGTTATCGCAATTACTATTTTCATAGAGAAGAAGAAACAACTTGAGATTGCGGCCAGCAAGCGCAACCGGACCGCCTTCACCAGTGCCCAGCTAGTTGAGCTGGAGAAGGAGTTCCACTTCAACCGTTACCTGTGCCGGCCCCGCCGCATCGAGATGGCCGGCTCGCTCAGCCTGACGGAGCGGCAAATCAAGATCTGGTTCCAAAACCGCCGAATGAAATACAAGCGTGACGCCAAGGAGAGTGAGCGTGCCGAACGGGGGATCAAAGTCTCGGACTCGGTGCTGGCCCGCCAGTCGGAGCGGAGTCCGCGCTTCATTGCCAGCACGGGCAGCCCACTCATGCTGAACTACCCAGGGGCCGCTGGGGGAGGCGGTGGAGTGGCTGCTGCCGGTGCTGCTTCGCCCTGTATGGACTCTCGAAACTTTCCTCACGGCGGAGGGATATATAACCGATTCCCGTACCCACAGGAGCAGCTCATGAACGCCTCACCCCGACTTACAAATTTGTGACGAATTGGAACGGGACTCCAAATGTGATTGTCGTGGCTTAGTTTGTTTGTTTGTCTGTATTTTGATGGATCCTTCCCTCAAGTCATCCTCGAAGCAAAGAAATGAGAGATCTGTTGCTATCGTACGTGTATAAATGATGCAAGGCAATACAAGTTGGAGCCATCTTCGTATAAGAGGGATGACCAGCCTGGCCAGCCTGAAAACCATTGCTTTATGAAAATACGCGTGAAAGCCAAGCATTTCCTCGGACACCAGCCTGATCAAACGTATGAACAGTTTCAAACTTCGGACGAATTTAAAAGGAGAGAAGGCGTTGTCACCCGATATGTCGAATAGTATAATAGTGTTTAAGGTTTCTACAATACAAGGAAAGGTGGGTCATCTTTTACAGTGAGCTGCTGATCGGGTATATTCACATAGAATATTTTTGGTTTATTTTCCTGTTCAATTCTGAAATTTGTACACTTTTTCTGGCTAAATGTATTGGTAAACATGCCCAATCATTTTCAGTATATAGCCAATAGCCAATAGACCTACATACGATAACCGTCGCTTATAAACGTGGCCGTCCACTTTTTTTGTCTCTAGATGTTCTTTCCTTTTCAGAGTCGCAATCGCTCATTTCGAATGCAAGGCAAATGGACACTTCTTCTCTGCCTGGAGGAAATGACTACAGACAAGTTAATTTCATGAAAGTTTCCTTACAATTATAACTTCCCAGGTGTTTCTTCATTTACGCAAGGAACCTGAATCCTCTAAAATCCACCGATGTGCACGAACGCAGTGGCAGATTCTCTGTATACCTAAAGTCTCCATGACATGCAGGTCATGCGTAAAGTGCAGTGTGATTTTACCTTCTTCGATTCCTTCAAGAACCCCCTAATGTCCTGGTGGAGTTTGAATGATAAATGAGGATGAGGTGGTAATGAAAATGTAATCACAAGGCCACTGACCGATGTAATTCGGACAAAGGAGACATACATTTATTGCTTTGGAATCACAGTTTTCCCCTATAGTTGTGCAATTCTGACCAGGCATTTAAACAGTTTATATTTGCACTAGAGTGACCTATCGGAAAGTTCTTTGATATGTTCTCTTCGGCTTTAGACACCTTCAAACTGGACGAAAATGTATAATTTACATGGTGAAACACTGGCAGCAGAAACTTCTACAGTATTTTAAAACTCCTTAGATTTTGATTGCATTACTGTTCATTTAAAGTTAAAAGTGAAGTGTAAAGTTCATATAAATTTTCGACCTCGCGGATAGTATCGTTGCATATGGCAACTGTTTTAGAAATCTTTGTCCAACACTTGAGGGGAAAAACATCTTTTAAACAATTGAAAATGTAACTTGTTCACATTATAATATAGGTTTCCTCGGCTAATTTAAATGGTCTTTATTCAAATTCACAAGCGGAATCGATTTGGTGCACTTGCCATATTTAAATCCGTCATTAGTCAAATCAGCTGTCGCAGTTAAACCACAAGCACAGATTTTCTGCCAAGAAACTTTCGTCTACGTTTCGCCTACGCCAAGCCGTTTCATTCAGAAACAAACTTGTGTTTTGTCACATAATTTAGTTTATTCAAATTCTTGACATCCTCAGAAAAAATGCATATAGGTCTTAGACAACCTTCTACTCTATTTCCTTTCTTCCAGTTCAATAATCTCTTGGTTCTTCCAAATTGGGTTTCTTGTTAACATGCTAGACTCATTCTACACTAAATTAACAGGGGTGAGTTCGTTTCAGCAAGGTTTTTGTATACATTGTTGTCTTTATTTATTTATTTATTTATTTATTTATTTATTTATTTATTTATTTATTTATTTATTTATTTATTTATTTATTTATTTATTTATTTATTTATTTATTTATTTATTTATTTATTTATTTATGCACTCTTCATTTGTTTTAAATTAAAAAGACTTGTTTTGAGGGGATTGTTTATATTTTTGCTATTTTGTTGTCAATCTATTGTGCCAAATGGTTTGTGGGGACCCAAGGAAATTCTTTAGCACGCACAAGAGTATAGTTTACCCTGAAATGTATATCAAAATAATTGATACAAGACAAATCCACTCTTTGACGCTTCCATTTATCAAAAGCTTCGACAAATTTGATTTGTAATGATGAGGTTTCTCGACTTTATGTGTTAATGTGCGGACCATACTTTGAAACAAATCGCTTTTTCTAACACACTGCGGATTTGCCCTGAATGAATTTGAATATTTTGAGTTGATGCATTAAATTCAGAACCATTTGAAATAGCCGGGACGTCCTGTACACGTAAAAAAGAAACCTGCATTTATCTCCGAAGAAATCCTGACTTTTAAAAATCACAAGATTTTAAGTAAAAGTGTCCCTCTTTTTTCATAACAAACCTTCCAACATAAAATCTCAAGCGTGTTAGACCTGTTGCATGTAAATACGCATTTTTGAGGCGAATTATGTCTGACAATATTAAAAAAACAGGGTATTTCACGGTTTTTTGCCGTTGTAATTTTCTCGTTTGTAAATACTAGGGCGTAACTGTGTGTTTATGGTGTACATGCTTTACTTTACCACAAAAAGGGACTGACGCACAAAAGGAACAAAATGGTTTTCCTGTCCTTTTACCCGTGGTTATTCTTTTGTTCAACTCTGTCGTCTGTGGTAGGTGCCTTTGCTCCTTCCATGGGGGCGAGGTTGCTATAGGGATGAAGGGAAACACACTGCCTTGTTCTCTGTGGAGAGCAAAATACAATAGTGTACATCAAATTGGTTTCTATGAGATATAGAGTGGCCTTTTGTCTCATTAGTTGGACATGTTGCATTTAATTTGATTTTTTACAAGCTAGGCAAAGAAGCGGATTCATGATTTGAGTAGGCCTATTAAATTTGACTTCCATCGTAGCTGATCTTATTCTCAAAGGACGGTGACAATACGACCATCATTCCTTGTGATGTTTTGGATCTTTGTTATCTCTAATGTAATCTTTGGCCACATTTATGTCATGTGTGTACCTTGATTACCTTGGCAATAAATCTCCCTGTCTGCTGTATACTTGATGCCATTTTATTTCTGTTAGTGAGGCGTATGTTATGAAGAAGGGATTGTTAACTTTTAAACTTCCTCTAAAATGAAACCGACTATGATTTGCAATGGAAAGTGAAAGCAATGCAGAGGTTTGCTCTTTATTTCGCCATTTTCTGCTATGACCAGTCTACGTGCAGTTGGGTTACTGTAATCACGTTCGAAAGTTGGACCTCGGTAGTCTCAAAAGAGAAAGATACAACCTGAAGATCTAAAGAACAAGATTAAGTTTTTAACTGTAGACAAACAACACTTACCGGAATGAATGTGCTGATTGAGGAAAAGAAAGACCCTGCTGCCACGGAGAGTAAGCTCGTCTGCAAATCACCGTTTCGTTGTTTCTTTCTCTTCAAATAATAATGCACACACAGGACATGTTCGGTAAATGTAAGTACAGACTGGGCTCTATACAAAACTGCATGCGCAATGTAACAAAATGATGGAAAGAAAAGAAGCTATCTTTCGCCTAAGATTTAAGTACACATATCTTTGGTGTACTGGAGACTGTCGTCAAAGTTCTTTTACTTCTCCAGTCATGAGTAAAAGGGTGAACAATGACAAAGGAATGTATATATATATTTTTCACAGTTCGCTGGAATAGCTTATGGCTTGGCTTGGGACCGACTAACTTAGGATGGACTTGCAGGGACTCGTGTGGATTCGGTTAAAATAAAATGCACTTCAAAGTATGCTTAGTCAAAAGCGTCTGTGTAACCGGAATGCGGATGGGTATAGTAAATACAAATCCATTCGTCTCGCACTTAGCAAGACAAGCAACTTCAAACGTCCTTCGAGGTATTGGTCTAACACAGCGGTGTATGCCAGCCTCTGGTGCGCTAACCTTACATACCTAGTGTGGACTTGTGAACAAAAGATGTCTACACGATGCAGGACAGGAAGACGTTCTGTGGACTTACACACGTCCACTGGACGTTTCCCCTTCTCTGAAAAAGAAGTTTAGAGGCATTTTGGGGTATGCGTCATCCGTTGTAAAAGGAAGAGGAATGGTCAAAGGAAACCTTGTACAAAAAGCCAGCTGAAATCGTGTTCCCAGTTCAAGAAAAACGAGTATTTTCACTGAATTTTCTTAACTGCACAAAAAGAAAGGAATGTCCACACTAGGTATGTAAGGTAAGTAAGTGTCTGTGTATGTGTGTGGGGGGGCACCTTCAATTATCGAATGCGGCTTCGGGCTCATTCAACATGTTGGGGGAGGAAAAAATGCGTTGCTTTTATTTCACGGTGTTGTTTCTTAGGGTTTGGTGCTGATATTTGATTTAAAAAAAATCTACCGAGTACTTTCTCTCCTACTCACCTTTGAAGTTTTCTTTGGCTGGATACGCCACTGGTCAAATAACAGCAAAACTTCGAGACACTTCAGCAAAACTTATAGGGACAAGGCAGCGTAATTGTTAAATGCAGTTCTTGTAAATACATGTACATGTAGTTCTTGTCTCACTGAACATGTCAGTTTTGTGTGTTCATGACATGAGGTCAGGAGCAAAGCTTTTTCAAAACCATTTCCAGTTAATTAATAAGTTCCGGATTCATATATTTGAACAGACCCCCGCCCCCAAGGAAGAGTGTCTTCCCGTAATAACATTCACGGCAACAGCGCCCTTTTATAGTCAGGGAAACCATAGATATTTCTAAAGGTTTACAAAGGTGAACTTTCCACTGAGAGTAACCCGAAGAGATGTCAAGAATTTTTCCTAAATTTAGCAGGAGCAGTGTCATTTGTTTGATACCATCTCCCCCTTCCTGGTGGCCAATCCAGTCGGCATCGTTCAGATTGTGGACAGAGTCGGCGCAGTACTGCTTGACCTTTGAACCCACGCATTCCTGCGCAGACGGGCTCTAAGAGAAGCATCTAGGCCTCAGGGTCAAGAGGGGGCACTGTTGTCATTCGTCTTCCTCAGCCCACGTCAACACGCGCTGTCATTGAGGGTCTTATCTAGCAGGTGCGGGCTCCCACTGAGTTTTTCTTCATTCCATGGGACTATGGCTGAGGAGAGGAAATGTGTGTACATGAAACACATGAATGTTGTTTATAAACGAAGTCCTAATGAGGAAAAATCACTTGACATAATTGAAATTGATAACGTTTTGACAAGCCAGTAACATCCCATAACTGAAATCCAGACCTTATAAAAGCAGTGTTTGTTGCACACAATGTACAAAATATATTAAGATTTTCTTCTAAACAAAACAAGCAGAAACCAAAACAAAAATCACGTACCATTATAAACAGAGTTGAATTCTTCCGGAAGGCGGGCTGTTTCTCACATTTTCACGATTAAGGTGGGCAAACTGTGGGAGGACTTTACTCCTCTGAAGGGAAAAGAGAATCTAGGTTGAATTTAGCATCATCCAGCTAATGATCAGTTACATGTACATCCATGTATATCATTCCTAATCTGTTAAAATGATCGAACAACGATATCACGGTATCATTCCTTCAGATCCGTAAGTCTGAGTTAACTATCATAAACATGTGTTTGAATCTAGCATAATCTGAATTCACTGATGTTGAAAGTACATGTACAACAGGATATAACGGGGAATTGATAAGTCAATTTTGTTTCATGCTAGGTTCAAGGGAATGCTTAATTAAACTTCGTAACTAATTCACTGTCTGAAAGAGTCTATGCAATTTTGTTTTTAAATCATTGCAAATTTTCATTTTCACTTTATTTGCGTCCTGTTTAAGCTCATTTTTAATTTAAATGTTTCAGTTGCAGAGACCGTTTATTTGTCTCTGTGGGTTTTATGCATATGCAACTCAGATAATTATTCCTGAGCAAGAGGTGATGTCATTCAGGAAGAAACCTCGTTACAAGAGTTATTTTAGCACCAAAATGTCCTATATTATGTTTTATTAATTTTCCCCTGAGGTAATTTTGAGTCGTTTTACTTTATGGCAGCTTGCCATTACGATTTTCAAAACCAATTATATTAGCATAAATTAAGTTCAAGCTTTGAACAAAAAGCACTATATGGGCCTCCGTAGTTAGGTCAATGTTACTCATATGTTTTGTTTTATCTTGGGGGAGAGTCAATCGTTCTGAGAAAAAAAGGAGTTGTTTTTCCCCAGAAATACCTGTGATTGTGATTTTGTTTTTCGGCAGGAAATTCCAGAGAGGGTTGGGGAATAAAATGTTTCCCTTGATCGAAGCGAAGATAGGGGTCGGCTGAAATGAGAGCTGTAGAATTAACTAAGGAGTTCCTTGTCGACAGTTTAGTGTCTTCCTTACATGACATCACAGCAATAACGCCCTCGTTTTTCTGAAAAACACGGAAAGTTATTTTCGAAAAAGTACATTTTTCAAAGATTTACCATTGGAAAGTCGAAAGGTTCTGCAATATTTAAGTGGCACAGAAAGTTGCACAAAATATGTTCCTGTGTAAAGCCCATGCCCCTTATATCAATTTTCCCTTTTTTCCTAGAATCCAAACGAATCTTTGCAAACGGAGATGTATTTAAATTTCATTCTCTATTTTAACACCTGAATCAAGCATTTACATGTTTGGAAGTTTGAAATGGTGTTTGGAGTTTCTATTTGAATACAAGCAAAAGCAAAAAACGTCATATTTGGGATGGAAAAAATAACTTCGAAATTAGTGTTTACACGAAACGTTACATGTTGTTATTTTCTTTGCTGTTTGTCGCTGTAGCTGCTGCTGCTAATGCGATCATGCCTGAAAGTTTCACTAATGCAATCTTATTTTATGTGAACGTTATGTCTTACAAACTCTTACCAATCCAGTCACGACTCTGCTGTAGTAACATGGAAGAAGCGATTGATCAGAATATAAGGTCACCCTGAAAGTTAAGAAAAACCAGAATGAAATGGACTTTTTCATTCTTCTTTTTTTCCACTTTTGCAATAGTTCTGTTGTCATTGTTGCAACTGCACCAGCATCGATTGTCAGGAAAGAGGGCTTGTACGAGGGATCTGAACTTGGGATTGAATAAGAGATACTGTGCTTACCAATAGGCCCTACTAATGAAACAAACCCCGTACTCCCAATCTTCTTAATCGTAAGCCCGAATACAACCCAAAGACTGGTTCCATTGCTCATGATTGATATGAGAACTCCGATTATTACTCCACCAAGCGTACGAAAGACCGCCCTCTTGTTTTGGCGCGTCTGCAGCTGTGGAATTAACGGCTTACTGTAGTCGCTTTGGTAAAGGCTCAAAAGGACTGAGAAATAAGCTCCTCATCGTAATGAACATGAAGTTTCATGACTGGACAGTCCTCATGTCTTAAGAAAGAGGGACTCCTTGCCCACGATCGATCTTTTTAATGATGCGTACGAGTTTCCATTCGTAATATAAAAATAGTGGACCAAATTAAAACGAATTGCAACATGCTAATAAAGTGTAATTGGGGACCACTGAAAAAAACGACTTGATAAGAAGGAAAATCTGACATTTTTGTTATTCTGACAGCGCTGACGCTACATATTTGCCAAAGAAGACATTGCAGTCGTGCTA